TAAAAGATTGAATTCACACGTAGGGTTTTTCGTGTTGCAAGCTGAACGACTGTAGCTGCTCCCATCTATGCGACCGGACACGGATTGAATACACAAAACATGAGCAGACTATGTATACGAAATACACACTACAAAAAAGAATCGAAACGTGCATGCGTTATGTGATAATGGATGTAGGTGATGACATTCATATGTACTATTATAGAAATACTGAGTAATATAAGAAATTAGTATAAATATTCAGGGGTGATTCTGTCGTAAAATAGACCAATGCTATGCCAAAGCTATTTAAGTACGTTCCAGTTTTCATACAAAATGGTACTAAATACAGTCAATATGCTAAGTATTTGCTGTGCAATCAGACGTTTCACACATATACTGTAACTTCGCTTATATGTTATCAAGCTATATCTCAAAGATGCAGTTATGATAAAATTGTTTTTATGCCATTTGTGCGTTCTCTAAATCTGTCTAAAACGCTTGATACCAAATAAGAAAAACACAAAAAAGTTATATATTTTTTTTTTAAACACTTGCACTTTTAGTGCAAAAGAACATCGTAACTAATAATAATTAATAAAGAGAGAAATTAAAGGAGCACATATTGCCCTCCTATATTACGTGTTGTTCGCTCGGCATTAACATATCTATAGTAAAAATAAGGTTGAATGGGAAGATAAGTCAAAATAAAGTTTTCTAAAATTTGTAATATTAAATCAGCCACACAAGGACTAATAAGAGAACCCATGGGCAAACCAAAAATCTTGGAAAAAAATTATCGTCAAAACAAAAATAAATATGAATAAGTATTTTTTTAAATAAAACTGAAAATAGTTTTAAACCAAATCAAATCAATAGATGTATGTGGTTGGATATCATTCCAACGATCAGTGACTGCCTGTAAAGCAAGATTCCAAGGAATATTAAACAGGGGTAATGACGTCAAAACTGGCAATAGAAAAGTTGGTAAGGATTTCAAAATTGTTTAAAATTTTAGCTAAATTAAAAGAATAATATTATAGTTTTACTATAGATATGTTGATGCCGAACGAACAACACATAATATAGAAGGGTAATATGTGCTCCATTAATTTCTCTCTTTATTAATTATAATTAGTCATGATGTTCTTTTGCATTAGTTCAGTGTTTAATAAATTGTATGTAATTTTTGTGTGTTTTTCCTGGTTTGGCATGTGTATAATTTTCTTCTTTTTTATATTTTTAACTATTGTTATTTATGTAATATGTTTTTTAGATTACTGAATGGTGACACACATTAAGTACGGAACGTTTAATAGAATAAAAAAAAAATCTATTTTGGTCTTCTTTAATTCGACGATTGGGCGGCAGAATACTTCGAATATATGTACACATATATATACATACATATATACATATACATATACATATATATATATATATATATATATATACTTTTTGGAATAAATGAATAATATATTTGCATCTAATAATTATATTTCGTTCTAAATTAACGAATAAGAAACAACCCTGTGGTTCCGCCCACGCCTTTAAATTTCTGAAGAAAATTAAATGACAACATGACTTTGGAGTTTAAGTTCTGCTTAAGGAAATTTTACAATATTTGAAAACATGTATTAATTAAATTTTTTAAACAAAAAGTAAAATTAAGTTTTTAAACCATTTTCAGTTGAATGAATATAATTTATTAATTAATTAGTGTAATTCTGCTTCAGCCACGATAGTACTTTTTAGAGATGATAACTATTTATTACAAATACATATTGTCAAATTAATAATTATTTAAATACGGTGCATCAAATAAACAAGAGTGGGGCTTGAAGGTCTGTAAAAAGATTTATGACTGATATCTCAAAAACAAGTAAAGGTATTTTTGGATCTTGTCACTTGCCTGTCCAATTTTACCCCGCCTATGAGGCAAAAAGAACCAGGTGACAATTTTTTTATAATGATGAATCAGTTAACAAGGAGGACCCGCGCGTTGCTCGTCTGTGATTTAGATGAAATTTGGCACAATGGTAGAGTTTACGCCCAAACTGACCATGGTAAAATATTAGAGGCCTCTGAAAAGGCGTTCTTTCTTATCAGCGGGAGGTTGTCCGACTGGTAACATCGGTGAATTTTAATTTTTGTGTCTATAGTCAAGAGTTCGAATCCCACTCAAAGTTTTTATTTTTTTTTAATATTTTCATTTTATATTTATAACTGCATGAGTTAATAATATTAAAATTAATTCAAATTTTAAATTGATTCTATATTTTTTATTAAATTCTTTAGTAAACCTCTTTAACGTGTATATAAATTTGATGTAAAACCAGAAAAATTAATGTGAAACATTATAATTTCATATTAAGAACAACAATAATAAGAGTGAAAAAATATAATTTATTTGCATATGAAAACGAATATAAGTTTTACATTTGACTGGGTGAATTTCATCAAAATCCCAGACAAGCAACGCGCGGGGCCTCCTTGTAAGATTTTTTCTGAACATAGCCAGATAGTTGTTTAATATGTGGTATTTGTTGTAATGTAATTTATTTGGTTTCTAGAATAATATTGCTGAAAGCAAATCGGCCCTTTGTACCCCGCCATATATTCCTCAAACTATAAACAACCAAACAAAGCCTGTAAAAGTTAGTATGATGAAAAAAAATCATAGAATATAGGAGAATTATAAAACTTCAAAAGAAAAGAACAAGAATTTCTGAAGTCGCAATAGTTCAACAAAAATGCCAGGAAATACATATATTTTGTATCGGCTTCTGTAATTATGAAAATATGTAACTAATTATAGCCTCATTAATATTAGTTTATTAGTAGATAATCTGTGATCAATTAAAATATTATCAAATGCAACTATCAAAGACGCACTGAGCAAAACAAACCCAATCGGCTGCGTGTCAGTAGCACAAACGATCATCGCACAAATCGATATCGCCACTGAATACTCGTACAATGTCCATCAGCCGTACTGATTTTATTTTTCCGATTTAAATTAAATTAACAGATATTCGCATATGTCATTCAAAGGCACGAGTTCCATCAAACTTCCTCGCGTATGTGCGAACGCGTACCAACACAGGCGCCCGGCCAGATACGAAAAAAACGTGCGGTAAATGTTAAAATCATGCGGGCTGATGAAGAGAGAGAGTGCTTCTGGCGGACCAAAAAAGAAATCCGATAAAGTTTGACGCAGCGCCGCCGGAGAGCGATCGGAAAAAATAAAAATAAAAGCGGCAAACGCAATGAACGAACCGAAACTTCTAGCTGGGAAAAATTCCGGAATTCGGATCACGTGGTCCGTCATTAAGACCCGCGCGGCGCGCTCTGTTTCAACTTTTTTCATCTGCACGCACGGTCCGACGAACACGCATATGCGATAGACGTGTGCGAGGATGTGTGCAAATTCTATTGATAAATTTACGCGAAATGTGGAGAGTTTAAAATATTTTATGTGTGATATTCATAAATAGTTTACTCGTGGAAGAAATAAAATCTCAAAAAAGTATTATAAGGAAAAATGAGTTTTACTCTTATGATGTAATGCACTTATATATAGAATTTAATTTATCATTCGTCAGCGTAGTTCATCAATGTTAATGTTCATCAACCTTAATTAAATATTTCACACGCTTGTGCAGTTCCAAATTGCCAATTGATTTTTGTAAATATTACTGGCATTTAAAGTGTTTGTATGTGCTAGGGTATTATCATATTTGATATTATTATTAACTTCAAAAGGTTTATGTTTTTCGAGAAAATCTGAGTGTATGTTAAGGGAGAGTGAGAGAGAGAGAGCCGAATTTTGACCGTCAAATATTTAAAAGATTAGATGAAAGTTGATGAGCACTCATATTAGTTGTTTTTTTATACCAATGGCCAAACTTTTTTATCAGAATTAGTAGAAAATGCAAAAATTTTTTGTCCAAAAGTTCTGAACTAATTTTGTAAATTCGATAAATATTTGACTCATCTAACTTACAAAGATTGGCCAGACTGCTTTTTTTTCTAATTAATTTCTAAAAAAAATTCGAAGATTTTACTAAAACTTGATGATAGAGTACCTGATGACCGCGAATTGTATTTGGCACGTATTTGTTTGTCCCCTACACCATCTTGGTATACCAAAGTGAAATATTGACTTTTCATTGAATGAGTCGATTATTTACATATGTCGGAAAGTTAATACACTTTCTTTGATTCAAATTAGAATATACAAAACTTGTAGTTCGATCAAATTTTTTAAATTCGTTTAAAAGTTGCAAGTAATGCAATAAGTAAATGCAATTTATTTCATTTCAAATTTTTTTCAAATGCGATTTCAAAAGCTACGAAATTGCTCTGGGACCATTATGATATTACAAAATTCTAATGTAACTTGCACTGAATGGTAGTAGTAGTTGCACTATTGCATTATATAGTAGTAATATTATTTTGGTAAAAATTTCAAATTTAAATAAAGCAAGAATATCAGAAGATGGTTGTCTTTAAATGTCATTAAAAAGTTCATTTAGATCTCACATTTTATTTCTATAATTAGATTGTGCAATGGAAACATAGATAATATTTTTAGAATCTTGCATCCACAAACATGTAGGTATACGTGATTATTATAAAATTGTTATAAAAGTATTAATTGTTAAAAAAATATATATGTGTGTGTGTGTAAATATATGTGTGTGTGAATGAGAGAGTAGGGCCAGTTTTCATTTTCTGCATGTGTTGTCTTCAGAACAGTCTTCATAATTTACAATAATTTTCTTTAATAATTAATCTTTAAACTAAAATCTTACGATAATAATTCATAATCAACCCTTTCTACTAAAATTTATTACTACAATCTAACACTAACTACAACTATCTCCACAATCTTAGTTATATATAAGATGTATTTAACTATTCTGGTCTGTCCATAAATCTTATTTTAACTCTCTATTTTATTCATTTGTAAACCTATTTATATATTTATAGATAAATATAAAGCAATTTAATTTTACCTGTGTCACCTGAAACGGACATTTCATCTCCATCTTCCCTCCTCCACATGACATAAGGATCAGGATATCCTCTCGCTTTACAAGACAATGACACGTTGGATCCTTCGCGAACAACCAGATCAGAACTTGTTTGTGATTCGATGATTTGAGGTGGCACTGATAAAATAAAATATTGAAAATATATTAATCTAAATGTTGAGAAACCTATCAATAAATAGATAGGTAAATATTTGTATTCATCAATTCTTATTTCTAAATGTTATTTTTATTGAAATGCTATCTTGTACAGTAGCAAATAAGTTTTACTTCAATTGCGTGTAAACATCACCCGCACTCTTTTTTTTGAATATTTACCCGTACGTTAAATATACTATCCATCCTACTTAAAATGTCTCCTTTAGTCAACGTCATTTTATTGGCAGTATATTACAAGGCAAAGATTAAGTATATTTCAAAATATACATTGTCCAATAATTATATTACATTATACTAAAAAGATACCAAATATTCACATGCATATCAATTCTTTACTGACCTACGACTTGAAGGTATCCTCTCCTTGACCTCATAGGATCAGTGTTGACTTGGCACATGTACCAGCCCCTATCTTCCTCAGTGACTTCTCGAATGTGAAGGTACCATGATCTGTGGTCGTTGTAAGACAAGCTTATCCTTGGATTCTGTGTAATTACATTGTGATATATCGATAATATCGTCTGAGTGTCCACACGTACCCATGCCACCTGTAATCGATAATTAGAATCATTGGGACGTATTTTTCGTCACATTAGCCATAGAAATAATGGTATGCAAATGTTTCGTAAAATTTGGATTAAGTAATTGATATAAAATCTAATATTGGATGCGATACTGTATGTAATAAAGAAAATTGTGTTTTTGTATATAAGTGTATACGACGAATGTCTATGTGTGTATCTATTCCTCCATCATATATAATCTGGATATATGTATAAGGTGGAATGCGAAAATCCAAATCCAATTACGGTTGAAATGTGGCAAAACTGTCACTTGATGCCAGAAACTCAAACTTTGCTGTTCAAATACTATTCTTAGTACTTTTAGTCAGCTCGTTTCCACTTTATACCTAAAACTTTGTGTTTAATCGTGCGTCTTATGCTTTCGCAAATAACTGTACAAACCCGTAAATGTAGATAAAGTAAATCAAGTTAAGCTAAATAACGTTATCAACAAAGCCAAATTAGCAATATAAATATTCAGACAATAAATCGCGTAGAGCGGAGTTTAGAGGCGGGTAAAAAGGTCCACCACCGATATCTCAAAACCAAGTACAGTTAAGGATTTTTTTACAACAATATTTAAAAGTAGAGGTAAAAAGATGTGTTTTCAATCATTACTTTGATGCTTGTGACGTTGTAATCGGGAGTTAAATAAAAATGTTTGAAAATCCATAATAAAAGTATTTTCTGCCGTTGTTATTTTATTTATAGTGACCACTGTTGTTTAGTTTACGAGACCTTAAAATAATTCTTAATTATACGATATTTGATTATTTTATGAGATGTATGGTTAATATTAAATTAGATTAAACAGTGTTGTTTATATAACCTATATAAAAGCTTACACGTAGATAGGGTAAAAAGGACCAAGAGGACCTTTATCCTGGCAAAGGTGTAAACAATGAATAATACTAATAAAAAGGTAAAATTAGTTTAAAAAAGCAATTTTGCAAAAGATAAATAAAATAAATGGTTATTTCAACTATGCTGGTAAATTTTTATAACAAAATACCGGACAAAGATTATAAATTTCTACATTGCAATTTTTGCAAAACAGCTTATTGTTTGATTTGATGTTAAGATGTATGTTATACGATTGTATATAATTAGAAGTTATTTTGTAAATCAAATTTAGCAAATTAAAAGCTTATTAAGTGTGATCAAGTATCTGATTGTATCAAATGATTAGATATAATTAGTTTCTCTATCTGTAATTAATAATACATGATGACTTTACGTAACCAATTTCTTAAAAAAGGATACAAATGTGATTTCAAATGTAATTTAAACATAATTTATTATTAGCTTTTCATATCACTATAAAAATGAAAAAAATGGTTATAAGCAATATTGAAATTTTTGCACTAAAACACATCATAGTTATAGATGATAACGCTCAATTTGATCATAAGGATTTGGATCTAATTGAGATGAAATTAGATATTTATATTGCATACTTTGATTAAAATACGTATTACTTAAAAATTTTGAACAAAATTCTAGGAATTCTGTTAGGAGGAAGTCCCGTAACGCCCGACGCCACTTAGCGCCGGACACTCTATTTAACACGTATTATTTAGGCGAGTATAAATCTTTTTATTTCTAATATAAGTGAGAAGGGCCGAGGGGGGCACAAAGGTACGGGATCACACGCCGAGCCTCGCCTGTGACACACACGGCCACGGCGGAAACAACCGTTTGCTGTTTTAGGCGCAAAATCACGACGTCACCCAAATATCAATGGAAGTAGTTTTAGTATATTTATGTATTTACATTTGAGTGGCATTCAAAGATAAAAGTAGTACTTGATGGTTATCCGTAAAATTGTAGAATATTATTAGATTTTTCTTTCACCCAGCCAAAAGGGTGGATAAATAGTGACTTTTTTGCAATATCTAAGAATATTAGTCAAACACATATATGAAGACATTCTAGAGTGTGGAGATGACTACATATGTGTTCAATGCAGGCTACACACGGAACGATGCCACTTTTTAAAATCATATTTTTTGTTACCGAAGTTCGATTGATAGTATTAATTTTGTTTTAGCAAAGATTGCATTTTCGTTAATTTAGTTTGATTTATAACTTTGTTATCTAACATAAGTCATAATTTAATAAACATAACGTAAACTATTTTTTTATTTATTCATAAATAACGTTAGGTGTCCGCCACTCGGGGACTTTCCCCTGCTTCATATTATGTATTTAATTAATATTGTACATGTGTATATGTGCAAATTATTTATTCATTACAAGAAAGTGTGAAGTTGCTCACAGCTAACTATATTTATATATTAAATTTAATTCAAAAAGTTAAAATTATTTGAAAAATAATGTAGCAATGTTATGTATTTTTTGCCGATTTCCAGTAGATGCGAAACCACTTTATGTTAGACGTAGTAGAAAGTTTTTTCCATAGCCGATTTCCCCTATCACTGGCTAATAAACGAAAATAAATGGTCGTTTCAAAATATGTTATGGTGATTGCTGGGCCTTTTTTTGCTCGCAGACATTTTTATTCCAAGTCTGCGATGATAACAACGATATCATTTCATGAGCGCGGCTAAAAAAGCGACGCGATTTTTTGCTCTTATTAAAATACTGCCCGTGATGACGCAGCAGTTGAAAGTGAAATTTTTTTCGTTGTGCATGAGCACCGCATAAGCTGTGATATCAGATTATAAAATATACATTTTAATAATGAACGATGAAATGCGCTCGGTTTTTATCCCGTATATATTTTCACTAGAATTTATTTTAGAAAATTTATTCTCGCATTTTTGACATAGATATACTGTAAAAATTTATTATAACACATTTTTTTTCATTACGATCATCAGTTGCAGCTCAATTCGTAATTGATAGTATTAATATTTAGTTGTTCGAGCATTTCACTACAATTCCTCACACAAATAATAATTACGATTACTCAACAAATTATTCCTCACTTATACAAAAATTAAATATTGTTAGTGTTAATTCCTTTAATATTTTGATTGATTAACTTTGTAGGGTAAGTTATAGTAATATCTAACATAAAAATTCCTGCATTCTACGTTTTAAGATCTCCTATTTTGGCATACGTTTTGGCAGAAAAAATAGATGTATGTTTGTACGTATGAGTGTAATGTGTGTTTTATGTAGATACAAATTTTAGTCGATGTTTTTGGCAGCACCGCTCATTCGAATTGAATGATTTAAAAAACGTTCAATTCTTGTTGAAGGGGAGACGAGCCAGTTTGTTTTTGCCAAAGGTAGGTCCAGCAATTTTGGAGTTGCAGGGAAAAACATTGAAATTTAAGATTTGGTAGTATGGAATGATCACACCAAATCATTATTGTTGATTCATATACATGTACAAATATTGATCCGCAAGTGACAGGCAAATTGAAAGGTAGACAAGAAGACAGGTAGGCAAATAAACCAGGTAGACAGGTACACAAGTAGATAAATAGGAAGATAGATAGATAGATAAGTAGGTAGATTGGCAGGTTGACAGGTATATATGTAAACAGTATACAGACAAGTAAAAAGATAAGCAGGTAGATAGCTAAACGAGTGCACAGGTAGGCAATTAAAAAAGTAGACAGGTAGATCATTTACATCAAATATTTATTGATTAACTCGATTATTCACATATATCGAGACTGCAACTTGTAAAATGCTTCTTACACCTAGTTTAAATTTTTGAATATTACCGACAATTTATGATTGGAGCACAAAAATATTCATGTATATTAGTATTAATATTTATAATAATTATACGCAAATCAAAAGACTGCTTCAAAAACATTTCATCTCATAATAAATATAATGAGTATTCCTCCGAAATTAAACAGATTTTTGTAATACCAAATATTAATATCTTTATAATTGCAAATAAATCTTTTAATTATTTAAATATTTTTTTAATTCAACATTTCGATTTGTTATAATAATTCAGTTTCCAATGTTCATCAGAGAAAGAATTAATGAAAGGTGTCATTTTGATATTCAAAAATTCTAAAAATAACATTGAAATTGAAGAGCTTTTCTTAAACAGCCGATACTAATTTTCAATTTTTTCTTAAGATTTCAACTTAAAATTACCAGATTTTAAGTAGATGAAGTTGAATTTGTTATAAGTTTTCTTCGAGAATATTATGAGAAAAAATTAATTGGTATAAAACCCTAAAAACATGTAAGCAATATAATATAATAGTAAATAATATATAAAGCCAGCAATGATAAGGTCTAATTTCAATCCCAAAACTACTCAAGTCATTACAATAAAGCAATTACAGTTACATTAATTATTGTATATTTGTCATAGAAAGTAATAATATTAGGACAATACATAATTATTACTACGTTATTATTTTCAATTAAAGAATATATGCAAAAAACACATACTATAGATTATTTGATATCAATAAACATAAAAATAATATACTAATGCTCTTAGCTCGGACACGAGTCAAGAGACGAGATTTTACCGTCAGAGATAGCTAGATAAAGATTATAAGGGGATTATCCCTATCAAAGGGTGCGGAAAATGGGAAATCAAATATCACATCATCCTCAGCAAACGTGTCTGAACTCATGTGTGTGATTATTAACTTATGCTCTATAGGAAAAATATAGGATTCATTGTTTGCGGAGAAATAACATAAATATGTGCATATGAATCAGATTTATAACAAAATTCTATAACAAAATAAAAAATGTTTATAAATCAATATTGTATTCTTTCATTGATTTATTTAATTATATTAATTATTATATGTAATATTAATTTTTTGTTGAATGTTAATAGAAGTGTTGAACGCTTTTGAACAATATTGACGATCTTTTTCATTGCGTTAATTTAATATATTTGTATAAATTTAATAAATTTTATTTGGTGAAAATTGTATTTTTATAATCTTAAAAGTTATGGCAAAATTATTTAGCCCTAATTTCTTATTGTTGAGTGTCTATGAGAATGATGAAAATTTTGGATT